GCCTAGGATCCTTTGCAACTTCTACAGCTGCATCATTGAGAGCATCTTGATCAGCTGCATCCCTGTCTGGTATGGCAGCAACTGCTGCTATGGACCGCAAGCACCTGCAGAGAGTGGTAAAGACTGTTGAGAAGATCACCAGTACTCCACTGCCCTCTCTGCAGAGCATTTACCACCGCAGGGTGCGTAGGAAGGTTGCCTCCATCCTCAAAGATCCCACCCACCCCCAGGACAGACTGTTTGCCTCCCTACCCTCTGGCCGGAGGTTCAGAAGTGTGAAGTGTAGGACCACTAGACTGATGGCAGAGGGAAAGAAAGTTTTTCAGACTCCTAAACAGCTGAGGAGTTTGTTACCAGGAAATATGTCATTTACTGATGACCTGTATTGTTTACATTCTCAGTTTGCACATGCATAACTGCACATTGACTGTTGACTGCTGCACATGCTGCTCCCATGCAGCATACATTCTCTTATTATATTCTCATATATTTTTATTATATTGCTGCATTGCTGCTTAGTGTCTTAGATTTTGTGTTATTTATTTACTTTATATTTCATTAGTATTTTGTGGCATTAATGTGAACGGCAAAGAATTTCATTGTACAGGGAAACGCGTTTCCCAACTGTGCATATGACAAACACTTTGACCCTAACCTTTGACCTTGAGTGTGCAAGACATACGGCCAGAGGTCAGATGAAACAACCACAAAGTCGATCATCGACCTCAGGCCTAGGGTGTCCTGGTGCCACGTGCACTGGTGGACACCCTTATGCTTGAACATGGTGTTCGTTATGGACAAACTGTGACTAGCACACAAGTCCAGTAACAGAGCACCGCTCAGGTTCAGATCAGGGGGCCGTTCCTCCCAATCACACCCCCTCCAGGTATCGCTGTCGTCACCCACATGAGCGTTGAAGTCCCCCAGTAGAACAACGGAGTCCCCAGTCGGAGCACTTTCCATGCACCCCACCCAGAGACTACAAGAAGGACGGGTACTCTGCACTGCCAATTCGGCCCATAGGCACAAATGACAGTGAGAGACCCCCGGCATATAGCCCCCAACAACATAGCTCCTAGCATCACTCGGGTACTCAAACCCCTTGACTACAATAAGGTGGCGGTTCAAGGAGGGGCTCCTCTGGTGTTACTACCAATTCCCTTCTGGGCCCTGCTCATGTATTGAGCCATGTGCCTGCTCATCTTAGCTGCTATGACGGTTGAGAGGAGCTTCCATGTTGGGCAGAGGCAAGTTAATCAGTGGTAGTGGGATGGTACTGCTCCCTTCTGAGGGTCCTTCAGGATCAGGACTGTCCGGCCTTCAGTTGGAGCCACTCGGGGTGGGTTTCATCCATTAGTAGCTTGTTCATTTGTCCCACCAGGCACTCATGGAATGAAGTTAGCTTCTTTAACCAGTAGGCATGTATCATGTCAGGGCCTGGTGCTGTCCAGCTCTTCATACTTAAGACCCTCTCTTGAATGTTTGCCATTGTGATGATTATTAGGTCTTGTTCAGGGTTGCTGTGGTCTCCTCTCAGGTCCGCAAGCTATTCTGCATTGTTGTTATGTGATGCTTCCTTCTCCAATATGCTCTTCCAGAATTGTTCAGGCTCCAACCTGTGGGTCTGCTCTCATGTTATTACTTTGCTACTGAGAGTACACTTTGGATGGCTCAGTGGAGAACATTCGGTTTACTCTCCTGGCTTCAACTTCTCTGGTGTACAACCGGGTGGCCAGGGCTGTGAGCCTTTGCTTGGCAGTTTCTAAGGCCTCAGTTATAGACAGTGTGGTGTACTTCTTGGGTACCCCTTTCCTCATCATGCCTTTCTGCAATACTGATAGCTGGCTAACTTCCCTCCTTGCTGCCTTGATCTTGGGCTCCAACCTCCTTCTCCATCGAGGATACTGCTCCTTATGGTCTTTGTTGAACTTATAGCCACACATCTCAAAGATGGGGCAACACGGTGGCACAGTGGGTAGCACTGTTGCCCCACAGCGAGAAGGTTCCGGGTTCGCAACCTTTCTGTGTGGAGTTTGCATGTTCTCCCCGTGCTTGCATGGGTTCTCTCCAGGTACTCTGGCTTCCTCTCATGCGTCTCAAAGATAGGACAGCACGGTGGGTGGCACTGTTGCCCCACAGCGAGAAGGTTCCGGGTTCGCAACCTTTCTGTGTGGAGTTTGCATGTTCTCCCCGTGCTTGCATGGGTTCTCTCCAGGTACTCTGGCTTCCTCCCACTGTCCAAAGACATGCGGTTTAGGTTGATTGGTGACTCTAAATTGCTCATAGGAGTGAATGGGTGTCTGTGTGTGGTTGTTCATTTGCATGTTGGCCCTGCGATGTCCAGGGTATACCCCGCCTTTCGCCCTTTGGCTCTAGCCACACCCCCTCGTGACCCAGTTTCGGATTAAGCAGTATAGAAAATGAGATGAGATCTCAAGGATGATGGTTTCTGTGGTGTATATGAGCTTGTTGGTCTCAGTGAGGGTCGTAGTGGGTATTGTTCTTAGTGCTGCATTCACATCCTCTAGTAGACTTTCAGCAGGCACTTTACTTGGTCTTTGTAACCGGCCATGGAGGATCCTGGTGTCCATCTTGCTCGTGATTTTCAATCTCAGGTCAGCTGCTCTTGAATTTAGCTCATCTGGTCTTGTTACTGGGGCTTGGTACCCAATCTCCGAATGTGTGTGTGTGTGTGGGGGGGTGATGATATCTCTCCCCGACCTGGCATTCTGGCTTCCCCTTGCTGGAGCATTCGTGTTGTACCTTGTCAATCTCTAGTTGTGATAGTATGTGCTTCTTGCAGATGTTAAGAGCACTGAGCTACTAGTTGTTTCGATGTTAATCTAGATGTTGGGTTTTGAAGTATCCATAGGTCCCATATCCTCCGTATGTAACCCCTCTCGCTGGGGTTACTTGTATAGTAGCATTCCAACAGTTCCCTGTTCTCATCTCTTGTCCATGAATGTCTTGTTCCAGTAGCCCACTTCTCATCAGGTTGCCCTGGCTCCTCAACACCTTATGCGGACCCAGGTGATGTCTGAGCTGGTGTGACTCTTATTTCTCTAACTCTCGTTACCCATGAGGCAGGCAGGTAGCATTAAGGGCCTTGCCTAAGGACCCAGGCTGGATATTGACTGCGCCCTGACCGGGGTTCGAACCCCCAACCTTCTGTACCAAAGTCAGTGGTGTTACACACACACACACACACACACACGGTGCATTCAACAGGTCTGTATGTACAAGGTATATTTACAGGTATTGCACTGAGGACAGTTATTCCACTGAGGGTTATTGACGTCATACTGTCATGAGGTAAGTGCTCATCAGAGTGATGGCCCGGGGGAAGGAACTGTCCTTGTGCCTGGTAGTCTTGGCGCACAGTGACCTGTAGTGTCGTCCAGAGGGGAGGAGTTCAAACAGATTGTGTCCCGGGTGTGAGGGGTCTGTAGAAATCTTCTCTGCCCTCCTTTTGACCTGTGAGGTATACAGGTCCCTGCATGGAGAGCAGGCTTGCACCGATGCTCTTTTTTTTTTTGCAGTCTCGACTGTCCACTGGAGTCTGTTCCTGTCCTGTTTGGTTGCTGAGCCAAACCAGACAGTGACGGAGGTGCAGAGAACAGACTCTGTAAAACTGTATTGTCAGTTCCTGGGGCAGGTCAAACTTCCTCTGCTGTGCCTTCTTGATGATGGTCCTGATGTTGGATTTCCACTTCAGGTCCTGGGAAATAGTGGATCCCAGGAACTTGTAGGTCTTTACTGTTGATACAGTGCTGCCAAGTATGGTGTCATCTCCATTGTTTTGAGCAGGTTCAGCTCCAGGTTGTTGCAGCTACACCACAGGACCAGCTATTCAACCTCCCAAAACTTCATCAGCAGATCCTATAAGTCCTGTAAATTACGAGGTGGGGTGCCCATGGATTAGATTTGTTTGTCCAGCACATCTCACAGATGCTCGATTGGACTGAGATCTGAAGAATTTTGGGGCCAACTCAACATCTTGAACTTGTTGTTGTGTTCCTAAAATCATTCCTGAACCATTTCTGCAGTGTGGTCGGGAGCATCATTCTGCTGAAAAAGGTCTATGGCATCAAGGATACCATTGCCATGATAAAGGGGTGTACTTGGCCTGCAACAATGTTTAGGTAGGTGATATGTGTCAAATTAGCATGCACATGAATGGCAGGACCCAAGGTTTCCCACCAGAACTCTGGCCAAAGCATCACACTGCCTCTGACAGCTTGACTTCTTCCCATGGTACATCCTGGTGCCATTTCTTCCCCAGACGAGCAATGCACATGCACCTGGCTGTCTTGCACTGCTCTGTGGTCCAGTTCTGATGCTCATGTTCACATTATAGGCACTTTTGGCAGCAGACAAGTCAGAATGGGAACTTGGACCGGTCTGTGGCTACGCAGCCCCATACACAGTAAGCTGCGATGCACTGTGTGTTCTGAAACATTTCTATCAGAATCAGCATTAGGTTTTCCAACAGTTTGTGCTACAGTAGCTCTTCTGTGGGATCAGACAACATAGGTTAGCCTTTGCTCCCCATGTGCATCAGTGAGGGCGTCCATGACCATGTCACTGATTTAGTGTTTGTCTTTTCTTAAACACTGTTGGTAGGTACTAACCACTGCAGACTGGAAACACCCAACAAGACCTGCAGTCTGGGAGATGCTCTGACCCAGTCATCAGCCATCACAATTTAGCCCTTGTCAAAGTCACTTCGATCCTTATGCTTACCCATTTTTCCTGCTTTCATCACATCAACTTTGAGGAGTGAATGTTCACTTGCTGCCCAATACAGCCCACCCACTGATAGGTGCCATTGTAATGAGATAATCAATGTTATTCACTTCCCCTGTCAGTGGTCATAATGTTATGGCTGGTTGGTGTATGTGTGTATATAGTGTGTGTGTGTGTGTGTGTGTGTGTGTGTGTGTGTGTGTGTATGTGTGTATATATGAATGTGAATTGATATCTGTTTGTGCCACACTAACATTAGGAACAAATCCGGCATCCATCTTCTTCTTGTACACAGAGTCCCAGTTAACATCAGCGAGGTAGGAAGAGGTCTGCATATCAGACAGGCTGGAGAACCGATGCTCTGGATTCACAGTCAGTAGCTGCAAGGGACACACACACACACACACACACACACACACACACACACACACACACACCAATGTTACCTACAAAATGTCACCTTACAAGTAGCAATATCGCCTTCACAAATTCTCTCTTCACTCACAGCCAGGCTCCTCTTTGTGGGAGGTAAAACATACTTGACAGATTGTGGATGAAAAACAAAAATCTAAATGTCATCTAATTTGACATTGTTGCTGCTCTAGCTACCAGGAGTCAAATTGGCAGGGGCAGAGGTCCCTTGCTTGTGATGACCTGAAAGGTGAGGAGGCAGTAACAGCTGACAATACCACTGTCATAAAAAGTGACCTTATGAAAAATTATGACATTAAATACAACTAAGTTAAATACTTTAATGGAACAGAAAACTAACTTTTAAAGGTCATTTTGAAATAAACATTTTTACAATGAAAACCTCACAAATTAATGGTTCAACATTTTGGACAATTCATTGATATGATTTATTTCATAAATACTTTAGTTTATTTAACTTTGAAAATTTTGGTGCTTCATATTAAAAGACTATACTTATGTTGCCACTAAATTTCACCAGGAAGAATCCATAGACTGTTCAGGAGGCAGAAGCCTGATCATTAGAAGCCTTACTGATGTTGTCACCAACAGGGGGCACTGTTAATCAAATCGGGTATTAATCAACATTGTTGCACTGATCAAGACGGATAAATGCCACACGTGAGTGGAGTCACTTATTCCGGGGAAGAAAAATACCGCTGCTGATACACTTATGTTTTTAATAGAACACCATCTGTTTCATTTTTTACCTCAGAGTTAATGCTGGAAATGATAATGGGATGTGGGTTTGTTAAGTTAATTCTCTTTCTGTTCTTTTTCTTCCTTTGTTAAAAGGCCGATTCCTTTTTCTCCTGCAGGGATGGTTAGGTCCGTCTCAGTGGAGTCCAGATATGGTAATCAATCAGCAGCAGAGTGGAAGACACCAGTGCTCCATCCATTCATTCACTCAGACACAGAGCACATGCATGCTCTCATGCTCACACTTAAAACTGCCAAAAATATCCCTTCTAACAAGACACATTTTCTCTTACCCACACCAAAATCTTGTCTTAAAATGATTAAAGAAATTCTGTCAAAGGGGATGACATTATCATTTTCCCAGCACAGTTTTACATGTTCAGATGACAATAACATCACAAAGCAGAATAACGTAGACTATTATTGCAGAGAAAAGTAGTCACATTCTGGAACAGTGTTAAGATTTATTTCCATTTGTTGCAATGGGAATTATTTCATCCAAGTGGGAGATTTTCACTTGTAGCAAAAAACATTTTGAGCCTCAGTAGGTGGTAATGTTACTGTGTCTGTGAACCAGTATATTACTGGTTGGCATAACCAGTAATATACTTTCTTTGTTGCTGTGCTTCCATCCCTCAGATTCCCATTTATTTTCTTCCACTTTGCCCTGAGGGTCACAGCTCATTCTCCCCGAACAGTACCTGTGGCTTCACTGGTTTTTACCTCTATGTACCTTGATATCACCTCTATATCCCTGCCTTCCTTCATGCTCTTCTTTCTAGGGTTGACCATCGGTGTCCTGACACCAGGGTCATGTTCACATTACTTAGATTTAATTTATTTATTCAAAAATGTAACCTGAAATGTATATAATTTGGATATTCTATAAAATGCATCTTCTTAAATTACTTTAATTTTTCACATATATTTTCAGTGTGCTCTGGATTTACCAAGCCACATTTAAGGCTTTGAGAAATGATTTTTTTTTAATCATTTGAATGTGTATGTCAAACATATGTCCAGTTAATGTAGGTCATAATATTTTTAGCGCTAAATGATAACCCATTGTGTCCAGCTTACCTTCCTTAAGAGAGAAACCAGGTCCTTGGGCCAGGCTGTGTTATACTGGACACTGACTGTACTGAAGAGCTGAATCAGGGACTCCACTGAGTTACTGGCATGGATGTCATAGGGCCTCTATGGAAACAGAGTAACAAAATAAGAAAATGGAAGAGGAAGCGAAAGAGGAGTGGATGAATGGATGCAAGTTCAACTTTGCAACCTAATAATCTTACCCATCCACGCAGGACTTCGAAGATTGTCACCCCTAGTGACCACCAGTCTATTTCAAAGGCATAGCCTGTCCCTCCACTAACAAAAGACTGGAAGATCTCTGGGGCTGAAAGTGCAGAGAATCATGTCTGGAGTACAAACAGCTCTGAAATCACTGCCTTTATGTGTGACAAAAAGCAATTGCTCCTTTGCAAAATGTCAGATTGAAACGACTCATTTTTGTCAGTAATCACAAAAATTAGCATTTTTGCATCAGCTTTTCATAAATAAACACGAGCTGTAATTTCTCATTTAATTCTCACAAGTGTCTCTTTGCTGATGATTTAGAAATAAGCAGAAATTTGAGTCAAGCACCTTTTAGCAGCAGCAGTATCTAATTAGAACACAGTGCATCTACTTGAAGTTTGTCACACGCTGACAATTAATTCTGGGTGCTTCATCACATCTTAGGTTATGAAGTGCTGAAAAATGTCAGAAGCAGTTTGTTCTAAGCTAAATTGTAACCAGATTTCTGACTGTTCAATACAACAAAACATTTTTTTATCACCATCTTTTTTGTCCCATAATGATATTGATTTGTCCAAGGATAAACAGATGTCCATGATAACACTAGGCTGAGCTGATAAGATGTTTATGATGCAAATCAAACATACCCATGTAGGGCTTGGTACCAGCTAAGGCTGTAGCTCTTTCTCCATCCTTTATTATAGTTGCTATGTTGAAGTCTGTCAGGTGAGCATGACCTGAGAAGAAACAACCGCAAAATCCACCCAAACATCTGTATTTTTTTTTATGTCTGTGAGCACAGACAAAGAAAACATCTCAATATGTAAAAACGTGGCATTTCAGAAAAATGGATCAGTATGTCCTCACGGTATTGTGTCAGGCACAAATCCTCAACTTCTCTTACATAGTAAGATGGTATAATTATGTGAAAAAAAATTATGACTGTGCTGAAGTAATAATATTGTTTATGGATTGGAAATAATAATGGACCAAGTGGTACAACCTTGATTATACAGTGGGTACGGAAAGTATTCAGACCCCCTTAAATTTTTCACTCTTTGTTATATTGCAGCCATATGCTAAAATCATTTCAGCTCACTTTTTTCCTCATTAATGTACACACAGCACCCCACATTGACAGAAAAACACAGAATTTTTGACATTTTTGCAGATTTATTAAAAAAGAAAAACTGAAATATCACATGGTCATAAGTATTCAGACCCTTTGCTGTGACACTCATATATTTAACTTAGGTGCTGTCCATTTCTTCTGATCATCCCTGAGATGGTTCTACACCTTCATTTGAGTCCAACTGTGTTTGATTATACTGATTGGATGTGATTAGGAAAGCCACACACCTGCCCATATAAGACCCTACAGCTCACAGTGCATGTCA